TTCCTTTTCGTTTTCCTTTCAGGCATTAAGGCCCACAAGATGCAACAGCTCAGAGATACCCATGGCCCTCTGGAACCTTCCTCTCCTCCCCTCCCCTCTGACTCCATCCCCTCTCCCAACCCCACCTCCTGTCGGGTATTCACCATCCCTCTTAACCTTCCATTCTCCGATGCTGAACGTTCTGCACTCAGCAAACGCCTCAGCTTTATTCCTCTGCGTCCTCACCTTAATGAATTTCAGGCATGACATGACGTCAAGCTCTTCTGCTGCCGTCTTTGCCTCTGTGCCCATTTCTTTGGACGAGAGTCTTTTCCCTGTCCCGCAGACCCCTTCGCCCAGTTCCAACACTCTCCCTCCACCTGGACCCCTCCCTCTGGTCTTTTACCTGCACTCGATCTGTTCATTGAGAACTGTCGATGTGATATTGGTCGCCTCAATTTCTCTGCCCCCCTCTCACCAAATCCAACCTATCTCCCTCCAAATTGACTGCACTCATTCCCTGTTCTCATCCTATTCCAGCCCCCACCCACAACTCTTTCTCCGCTATATCGACAATATCATCGGTGCTGCTTCCCCCTCTTGACCGGAATTAGAAAAGTTCATCAATTTCGCTTCCAATATTTCCACCCTACCCTCACTTTCACCTGGCCTATCTCTGACTCCTCCCTTCCTCAATATCTGTCTCCATTTCTGGGGATAGACTGGCCACTAATATCCACAATAAACTCGCTGACTCCCACAGGTACCTGGACTATACATCCTCACACCTCGCTTCCTGTAAAGATTCCAACCCATTCTGTCAGTTCCACCGTCTCCGTCGCTAATGTTCAGATGAGACCAACTTCGACAAGGGAGCCTCCAAATTCTTCCTGAACCGAGGATTCCCTAGCACCATTGTCGACAGAGCTCTCAACCAGGTCCAACCCATCTCCTGCTCTTCTGCCCTCCCCCCTTCTCTTCCCTCCCGCAACAGTGATAGGGTTCCCTTTGTCCTTACCTACCATCCCACCAACATCTGCATTCGGAAGATTATCAGATGCCACCACCAGACATGTATTCCCCTCCCCTCCCTTGTCCGCCTTCCGCAGGGACCGTTCCCTCTGGGACACCCTGGTCCACTCTTC